AAAAAAAAAAAAAAAAAAAAAAAATCTAAAGATTAAGAAAAATTAATCTAACAAATCGTATAAACTGCTTCAGAATTTCAAAAATACGCATGACTAAATAAAGCGATAATTTACCTTCAAAACACAGCCGGTTGTCGTATCCGAAGATTGTTCCAGCTGACATCAGACCTTCAAATAACTTACTAGTATACTTAATATCGTTAGAATGAAAAATACGCAGTCCTTCTATCTAAATTCGCTCTCTTATAGTGTTTTAAATTGCGATTCTCATAGAAAAACCCTATATTAAATAATTTAGAAGTTTTGTTTCTCCTAACAAATTGGCCCTCTATGTAAAGTAACCTAAATAAATGTACTTTAAAAAAATAATGACAGTGAAAAAAGGCTATGGTATTGGTGATATATATTCGATTGTTTTTTTCACAGTGTTTAGGGATTTTGTTTTTGTTATCAAGTTGGTCGAATAGATCGAAGCTTACAGTAGCTACGGTCGATGACGATCATAAATACATTTAAATATGAAAAGGGACAAGTTTGCTTTTCTATGGCAGGTGCTAGAGTTAGAATATTAATTTTTCGAGCCGCTTCAAGACAACTTTTGCATAGGAAACACACCTCATGACTGCGAACCAGTAAGGTTGTCAATGACGACCAGTTCTGATAAAATATTCTGGACAATATAATTGGCTTAAAGTTGACAACGAAGATTGTTAAAAAAAATTGGGGGACTCGGAGAGTCGGCTAAGTCAATTTATAGAAACGAGGTTGGCTTTTTGGTATGAAAAGTAAATTCGCATTATATACCATCAAGAAAATCGATCAAGCGGGCATTCAAATTATTATTGTTTTGCAAAAGGGATCGTAGCCAAGAAGCTGTGATGCAGGACTTCATTCTCAGACCTTGGATTTTATTATTTTATTCTAGCGATGGAAAGATATAAAGATGGTGAAAATACAGCGCGGAGGGAGACCTATATTGGATCAAAACAAGCGATTCAAATGGCGAATGGCAAGCAAAATGATAACTCTTCGCGGTCATCCAAGGGTACTAACAGAAGAGAGAACATATGTACCAGGTTTTTGGGCTTTTTGCGCTACGACCAGGACTATTCTTTATATTGCCTGTCAGAGAACAACCCCGTTCGTCGATTGTCTAAATACATAGTGGTCTCAAGGTATCCTTTAAATATATATATGGTATATATAATAATGAGTCCTGAAGTTATAATTTAAACGAGTGTGCGAGCTCGTTTATATAGCTTCGCCTTGTGTTTTGCACCACATAATTTCCCGAAAACGAAGCAGTGAAAGCGGCTGGAAAGCTTCGCTTCAAATGATCCTGAAAATCCTCAAACGCTTTGTTGGTTTTATAAAGAATTCTTTTAATTTTTATGTTTCATTTTTCGTGACTCATCCTTTTGTGACGCTTTAGTAAAGATTCAATGTTCAATTCAATGTTTTAACCTTAACATTACTCAGAGGCTTCGAGTATTTCATATTACTAAATATTGTGGCTAACTGTGTCGTGCTTGCTCTAAATAAACCTCTCCCAGAGAATGACAAGATTGAAATGTCCRAGTCATTGGTGAGTACAAGAAACGTTCATCATTCATTGGTCTTTTTCTCCCACTTCTATTATTTATAATGATCGATATACGAAAAACTAGTCGGAAAGAGAACATCTTATTTAAATATTTCACTAATGCGTACGTTTATTTTGAATTTATTTAGGAAAAAGCCGAACAATATTTCCTTGCTATTTTCTGCATCGAAGCTTCGCTGAAAATCATCGCTTTAGGATTTGTCTTACATCCAGGGTCTTATCTAAGAAATGGCTGGAATGTCTTGGATTTTATAGTCGTTATTATTGGGTGAGTCAAATGATTTTTTTCTTGGGTTTAACGTTAATAAAACTGTTATATTTTTCTTTATTTTAATTTTAATATATATACTTATGACAAGGAATTTGACACCACGGCCAATTTCAACCCTCTTTTAGCTTTTCAAACACGATTGTACTTCATTAATTTAACTAAGTCTCATTCCTAAAATACTCCCGTAACTTACTAGACTATAATATTGTAAAACAATGTATAAATTAGTGAAGGTTTCTTCAACACTGAAGACAAATAGCCCATGTGATCAAAACAAAGCACTGAAATTAACGCATGCGTAGTTTGCTACTTCCGTTTGATTTAAAAACTGGCTCATTTTTTACTGCTTTAGACAGCAGAATTCGTCTTTTTTCCCCGTGTAATAGCTTCTACTATAATGTAACTTAAGTATAAATCTAGAAATACAAATCTATATAAGTTTTTGTTTGGAGAATAATGGTACAATAAAAAAAAAACCAACTTTGAATGTTTTAAGAACCGATCATTTAAGTGAAATAAGATATTGTTTGGAAGTGGTATGAAGACAAAGTTATTATAGCATTAAGAAAATGAGTATTATTTCCTTAAATAGTGAATTTTGATTAGCAACTTCGAGCCAACGACTATTTTTGTTATAATATACCAAATTTATAATATGTTCCAAATATTGGATTTTTTGTTTAAAGTGCATATGACACGAAAACATTTTAATGTTAAAAATGTGTATTCTATTGGCATKAATAAGAATATCACAGTTAAATTTGTTTCAAAAACGTATTTCTCTAGAAATTCAAGAAAATTTAGCACATGTTGTGACGTCATTTTGTTTACAAGTCTCCAGATTTAGTTGCAAATACACGAAATTTGTTTGAATGCAGAATCTTAATTTCGGGTAGTACACTTTTCAGTTTCCCACCATTTGAAGAGTATTTCGTAAGGTTTCCAATGAAGCTGAATAGAATAAACCTTTTGTTGTTATTTTATAAGAATTACAATTTATATTTAGTGCATTTCTACCGAATCTAGAGTACGTGTCAACAAAATGACGTCACAAATTAGGCTTAATTTTCTCACATATCTCAAGAAATAAGCTTTTGAAACAAATTTTATTACGAYATATTTATTATTAYTAACAAACTATACATTTTAAACGATGAAATGTTTTCGTGTCATATACACTTTAATTGATTTTTACCAACCAGTGAATAGCACTCCAACGTTCGAGTTCAGTTCAGTTTGATAAATATAAATATATTAATCTATCATAAGTAGAACCCTAATTTGGAAAAAAAAGTGAGGCATTAGAAATTTTTTYCCCCTGTATTAAATATTAAATAATAATAATAATAATATTTTTTATTAAATATTATTTTGGTTCTGGAGGTGATTATGTTAAAGTCTAGCTTTTAATACCTTTATTCATGATAAAAAATATACCCCTATTTATGTTCTTTACCATTGATCCTCTTATTCTCTAATAGTATTGTGCCATACAAGAGCTTTATCACGCTTTGCGAGGAAGGAAATTGATAGTTAAAATTTTGTGTTGTTTTATCGTCATTTTGATAATCTAAAAACTAACATTAAAACTAACACTTTAAAAAAAATGTTGGGGTGTTGGATTGTCGAGGTGCTTGTGATCGTCAGATCGTTGAATGATAATAAAAAGTGAAATAAATGGATGGAGAAATTGAGAAGTAGGTGGGAAAGGATTAAATAAAAATGGATAGAAATGGAATATGAGAAATGAAGAATGAAATAGTTATTTTTTTAGTAAATTATATCGAATCACGTAAAATAAGAATAAGAATGTTACTTGGAAGAGAATAAAAGAACGAAAGGAAGAAAGTGAGTTGAAGAAAAGTAAGGTAGAAAAAATGGAAGGAGGAAGATAAAAAACAAAACATAAAATCCAATCGAAGTACTTCAGTATTAAAATACCAGAACTAAGAGAATATGAACTAGTTTATTTTTCTATTCTATTTATTCTGAAATAAAAGGATATCTTTAGTCCAAAAAAACATTTTATGGCTATGACGCAATTGCTAAATGCAGTCTTCCTGTCTGAGACACTATCTCACTAATCAATACCGCTGTGTTATACAGACGATATGCCCATGTTGAACTGTCATGTCTTTCCTTACCATGTTCTATATTTAGAATGGAGTTAAAATGGAAACTGAAAAAAAGATAAGAGAGATCAAATATCACCATGAAAAATTGTTCAAATTGAATCCTATATAAACATTAATTACAATAACCGTTGTCATCGCAAAGGAATGATAGGCAATGATAGTCAGTGATAGTCAATGATAGGCAATTTGTGAAAAGCGATAAGAGATAGGTCATTCCAAGATCCAAGAATAGCTGGAATGACTTGTGTTTCTGATTCTTATTCTCATTAAGAACTAGCACTAGCACTACCAGTACCACTACCACTACCACTGCCACTGCCACGACCACTGCAACTACCACTACCACTACCACGGACCTCTACCACTACCACTAACACTACACTACCACTACCACTACAACTGTGTAGCACTAGCACTAGCAGCAGCAGCAGGAAAAGCAGTAGCAGTAGCAGCACCAGCATCAACAGTAGCACCAGCAGTAGCACCAGCAGGAGCAGCAGCAGCAGTAGCAGTAACAGTAGCAGTAGTAGCAGCAGCAGCAGCAGCAGTAGCAATAGCAGTAGCAGCAGCAGCAGCAGTAGCAGTAACAGTAGCAGTAGTAGTAGCAGTAGTAGCAGTAGCAGTAGCAGCAGTAGCAGAAGCAATAGCAGCAGCAGCAGTAGCAATAGCAGTAGCAGCAGCAGCAGCAGTAGCAGTAACAGTAGCAGTAGTAGTAGCAGTAGTAGCAGTAGCAGTAGCAGTAGCAGCAGCAGCAGCAATAATAGTAGCATAAAGGACAGTAGTAGCAGTAGAAAAAGCAGAATCAGTAGCAGCAGCAGTGGTAGCAGTAGCAGTAGCAGTAGCACCATCATCAGCAGTAGTAGCAGTAGCAGCAGCAGCAGCAACAATAGCAGAAGCAGTAGCAGCAGAAGCAGTAGTAGCAGCAGTAGCAGAAGCAATAGCAGCAGCAGCAGTAGCAATAGCAGTAGCAGCAGCAGCAGCAGTAGCAGTAACAGTAGCAGTAGTAGTAGCAGTAGTAGCAGTAGCAGTAGCAGCAGCAGYARCAGTAGCAGTARYAGTAGCAGTAGTAGYAGYAGYAKTAGCAGTAGCAGYAGYAGCAGTAGCAGTAGCAGTAGCAGTAGCAGTAGCAAATGCGAGTATTCTCAAAGTCAATCATTTTACAATGAACAATATTCAAATATTACCTCAAACAATAGCAGCAGTAGCACGATTAGTACACTTGTTCATTAATTCAAACATCTGTCACTTTTTCAGATAATTAATTTAAAACCATCTCATACAAAACGTTAATCAGAGGCGTACGCCAAATGTACACATTTCTTTTAGTCATAACGCTTACAATTTGTTTTTTATTTTTTATTTTTTTGACATTCGCCTTCAATTCAAGTTAGACTGTTGTTCTATACACCGAATTTTTTTTTAATCACGCGGTAAATTTGTCAAATTACTTGTCTTTATTAACTTTCATTTATCTTATTGCTATTAATTGTATTTTTCTTCGCTATTGTGCGATTTTCTTAGAGGCATCTATGAAATTTATGAACCAATCTATCAATCACTTTTTAATTTTAGGTTTGCTTTACTCACTCATTGACCTCGTTGGATTCTTTTCCAATGTTATTCGTTTTTTTAAGGCGTTAAAATTTTTTCTCAGAGTTTAAAAAATGGGGGAAAAAGAAAGAAGAGAGGAAGTCCGAAGTCTCATTAATTTTCAAATATTGATATTCCAAGCGTATCTTTAATCTAGTTAGATTAAACCCAAACATTCAGCTCCAAAATAAATAAATGGAGCATTAATTAAATGGTAAAAAGAAGAAAGACGTCGTCGTGTATAGTCGACTCTCGTTACACCGAGTGACGGGAGCGCCCGCAATAGCGAGAATTAATTTTGTCATTTCTTTGTCATTATTTTTCGACGGGGATTTTTCTCCTGTTCGTAATAGCGAGGTGTCCACATGAGGTGACTGCATCTAGATTGAGTTAGCTTAGCTCTTTATTAACTGTTTATGTAGCTAAAAATAAGCTCTACCGATATTATTCTTTTAGCATTTTAAAATAAAACTTGGGTCCAGTATCCAGTCTCATACTGACCTCAGGCATTTATCTTTTATATGAAGGAGAAAACTTGATAATATAGCCATTGACGTAAGCTGCTAAGGCACTGCTGTAATATTTGTTATACAATCTTTCTTTGTAAAGTCTTTGTAGTTCTGGAATATGTCGAATTTTTTTGGGTTCTTTTTAATCGCTTGCTAGATTTTTTATGGAAGGAAGGAAGGAAGAAAGGAAAAAAAACGAAAACCATTTGTTACTGAAAGAGAGGAAAAAAGAAAGAAAGAGAGGAAAAAAGAAAGAAAGAGAGGAAAAAAGAAAGAAAGAGAGGAAGAAAGAAAGAAAGGAAGGAACGAAGGAAGAGAGAAGAATGAAAGAAAGA